AGTGCCACATAAATCCTGACAAGCTCTTCGTTCACTTTCAAGTCAGTGCCACATTCCATTGAAACTCATCACCCACACCTCAAGGAAGACACGCGTTGCATGGCGCGCAGTAACTACGTCAAGCCGTCATTGAACCCCGACAACAAGTCCTCAAGGCTTCAGTTTGCCATGAACTGCGTCCGGTCTAGGTCGTATGGGAGACACATATTTGCCAACATGTACGACTACGTGTTGACGAAAATGGATCCATTTTGACAACGATCAGGCGACTGTTCTATGTTTACGATGAAGATCAAATAGCGAAGAGGTCCGAAATGTCGAAGGGCCATATTACCAAGATCACTTTTTTGCTGCAGTTGCTCGTCTGCTGTGGTATGATCAATATCGAATGTAGGAATATGATGGGAAGATTGACATTTGGCCGTTCGTCCAACGTGTGTCTGCAATGCATTGCAGTAAGAACCGTCTGAGAGAGGCAAAATTGTCACGGTTCCCCAAACGATATGTTCGCCGGTATACAGTGAACCCCGGAAATAGCCGACACCCCTAAAAAAGCCTACCATCTCTGTAACATAATTTGTATTAATAAATTCTACCACCTGTATATTTCAATATCACATCATAATTGTAATTCTTTTTGACCAATTTCAGTGCAGAACAAAACCTACTGTGATGGGTTAACGATTTGAAAGTTTAAACTCAAGGTTATGCATTCCATATGAAAGCAGAGTATCGTATTGCCTGTCATGCCTAGCTGTCACAAGTCGTACACTGTCGGCGAGAAGCGAAAACTTCTCGCGTCGTTCGACGAACTGAACATCAGATTCCGCCATCTTTGCGAGCGAAACAACATCCCAAGGAGCATGTGGATTGGGTGGTTACATGACAGGTCGAAACTGTGCAAACAATCATCAACGGCAAGCGGAAGACTCTTGGTAGACAAGGCGTACGTGCTATAATCCCGTTCAAGCACGAGCTAATCAGCTTCATGAACGCTCGTGGCGATGGGCACGTTTTGACCTTAATGCACATGATGAAGTTCATGAAGACTTTTCATCCAACTTGGAAATGCTTCCACTCAACGTCATCGGCCCGTCCGTCATTATTGATGCCAATTTTGATGCTCATGGCAAGCAAGAATCTGCGGAAACAATTGCTGGTAACTGTATCTCGAAGTCATAATTCTGATTTATGGTGTTTGTATCACAGCTGATTTTGCTTCTACACCTTTTTACATTCAAGTTGGGATGGTCGTGAGAATTTATAACCGACAAGATATAGAATATACAAAGTATTTTGCGAGGGAAGTGACTGGCGTGCTCTGTGAATTCACTGTCAAAGTCATGGATCCCGGCGAGATTGACCGACACCGTGCTAAGCGCATTGTCCTGGCGGCAGTAAGATCCCATCAGGATGGGAAGCTCGTCGCCAGAACACTGGCAATCAATGAGAAGACCGCCGCGAATTGGATCTCAGTCGCCCGCGATCCAGAGAAGCCACAATGGGGTAGAACACTATACCAGAAGATTCAAGAGGAGCATGTTCAGCGTATCCTCTTAGCCCTGTCGTATATCCAGATCTAACCCTCGAGGATATGGCATCTATCATTGCAACTGAATTTGGCGTTGTAGTGTCTGCGAAAACAATCAGCGATCACCTCGACGGCAGAATGTACACCTTGAAGACAATGCACTTCGAGCCGGAGAAGATGAATATCAACAGACAACGGTCGCGCGCTATGATTTTCTCTATCAACTTTGGCAATTGGAAGGCGACGGCAAAGAGGTCTTCTACCTCGACGAAACCAACTACAACACGTGGTGTTCTCGGGAATATGGTTGGAGCGAGAAGGGTCAACGAGCTGTCGCAAAGAGGACCACCTCAAAGGGCGAGAATGTGCAAGTCATCGCCTGCATTGGTCGCGGTGGCCTGGTGTACTACAAGACGAAATTTGGGTCAAACAAGGCAGAAGACATGCAAAACTGCAAAAAAAAGAAGTTCTTGAGCACCTTGCTCGAACCATCCCGTTGAGCGAAGTCGTTATCGTGCTCGACAACGCACTTTGCCATAGCCATATCTAGGATGCTTTCGCGCCGTCTCCATCTTGAACCCCGACTTTGTTGCGATTGGGGCCGTACAGCCCTATGCTGAACCCTATTGAGAACGTCTTCTCAGCTTTCAAGGCCGATGTGAAAAGAACTTTGCGTATACGACGCACAGAGCTTCTTACCATCCCACCCAGTACCACGATCAAGGCTCATCGCGCCCGCATTTTGGAGTGGGCCACTGAAGTCGCGCTTCCAGTGATCACCCCTCCGCTGTGCTGGAAGTGCTATATGCATTCGCGCAAGTTCTATCAGGCCGTTTTGAATATGGAAGATGTGGAAGTAGGTAGAAAATAATTTTTGACAGAATATTGATTCTTGTGTTAATTATATTTCACGACCATCCCAACTTGAACTTCCGATTCTCCCAACTTGAATGTAAAAAGGTGTAGTTTCGCTGATGATTGTGCACTTCTAATATTTTCGATGCTAATATCACAGCAAACTTTTTTGTTAATTTCGTTGTACTAGTAAACCTTCACAGCATTTTGGAACCATTGCCTCCGAATTCCACAAGTGTATACCAGCCATAGGATGCTGGCGTGATGATTCCATTCTAGAAGCAACATTGTACTCTTTGTTTTGAGGAAACACCGGTGGCTACAGCTGCGGAGAAACGATTGGTCATGAGCAAGCGCTCAATTGCGGCATGGGAGAGAATTTCACCGGAAGCTATCAAGAGTGCATTCAAGAAGGCAATTCCAAAACCCGAGATTGTCGTGGTGTAGGTCGATGAGGAATGCATGTGTGGTTAGGGTTGTTTCTGAGCAGGAGAACATAAAATTTCACAAATCTCAAATGTCATATCCCCCTGGCTTGTAACCTTACTGAAGTGTAGTTAAATTTGTAGCGCTTATGATAGGTGCACATAAATTCTCCTGATTATTGACAATCAACTTGAACTAAATCGCGTAATCTAAAAAGAATTCGATTTTATAACGCCTCCATGCATTTCAGGATGAAACCATGTCGGTTTTTTCCGCGTTTCACGACCTCAATTGTTGAAAAGTTCTTGCATGCGATCTTTGCACAGTTTCTCCCTGTTGGTAGGCAACGTGGCATCCACATACAACAAGACAACGCGAGCCCGCACCGGGGCGTCATGACGAGATGCTGGAATCAAATGGTGTCCTTGCATTGACATCGTCAACCAGCCTTCGAAGAGTTCAGATTTCACCGTGTTAGATTTAGGATTTTTAGTCTAACAGTAGTCTGCAGTTTCAAAGATGCACAAGAACAATCGAGGAGCTAATGATGCTGTAGAAAGCACTTAAAATGCAGTGCCAGCAGACGTAAAACTGGTAAAGACTTTATAATCCTTCAAAGTTTTATGGAAATACCCATTGAAATAAAGGCAGCAATGACTAGAAGTTGCTCACTTGAGTAAGGACGCGTCATTCGTAAGCCGTGTAGTGTATAATGTTGCATGTGAGTCTTCGAGTTTCGAGAGCGCGCTATCTCACTTGGACTTTTGCCTTGGTGAGGAGAATCGCATGAAAGCGTTGGTGAATTTTCGAAGACAAGTTGAACGTCCCATTGAATTAGCTTTCTTTGTATTTGCAAGCCAAACCATGCGTGTCTAAGCACATGCAGAAATCAAAATGTCTCGCTATGACCTCACATACATTAATGAAAAGTGTTGGCGACAACTATTCTCTAGTAAGACATGTTCATAATTTTTATTCTGCTTGGCCAGAGGTCTTCCAAGTTCGATGGTTCTCTAGCGTTTCAAAGGGCCTTCCACGACTTTTTTTCATTTCAAGAGAAAGCTCCATGTACAAATCACAAACGATTGCAACTTCGACACCTACAGGGAACGAAAGGTAACTTTCCCAGTAGTACTCGCTCAAACTTCTGGAATACTAATTTGTTCGTATGATGCTCTTCATCTATAACCTTCTACTTGGCCAAATAGGGAGGTGAATTTTTCTCTAAATGTTACGAAAATATTTGAGAAAATATTTTGTCAATTTTAAATTTCCTTAGGTGCCAAAAGAGTCTGGTTCTAATGCAGCGGGCACTTGGGGAAATGGGCACTAGCAAAAGTCGAGGCTTCAGGTACACAAGCCTGAAGTCCATTGAATTAACAGTAGATGAGGGGCCATTTTCATGAATATTCCACCGGTCATGTAAAACGACAATGTCTCATCATCCAATTCGTTTGCGGCGTTGTCGGCGAAAGTTGCATTATTGGTTTAGGTTTGATTAGTGCAGACGCTATCTTCTATGGGTTGTGCTTGGGCGACGTTTGAACCAATACTTGATCGTTGTCCCAAGTTCGTGTTATAACTTTGTATTAACAATAAATTTCCAGATAAAATATGATAAGCCGGATAAAGGTCAGTTCTAACGTTAATTTTATAACTCGGTCACCTCTTTGGCCAAATTCCTAGTACAGCCAGTATTTGGAAACTATCCATCCTTGTTATGACTTCAATTATTTTCCAAATTTTCCAAATTTAAATCTGAGACTTATCTTCGCTTCGTCTAGCTGAGATCAATCGATATTTGGTCTCATTTCACTGAATTTTGGAAATTTGACGTCAAAATATGGTCAAATAAAATTAGGGAAATGTTGGATGATTATGGACGAAGTGCACTATAACTCCATACTCCCTCCGCTCCAAAATAATTGCACGAATCAGGAAATGGATGTACGCCTCCTCGAATAAAAATTGAAACCCTCCAATATCAAATTATCCAGAATGTATTTATACAGGTGTAACGATACACTTGTCCAATCAAAACTTGCGAAATCCGTGTCTCAGGACCAATCAAATTAAGGCTTTGACCACTTTTGACACTTCCATTCGATTCAGGACGAGGGTTTACCTCAGGAACCTCCTAACGAGCGCAAGGACTTTCCAGAATACCAACACACATGCCCGTACGTGGTTACTCGTCATCTTCTACACTGATTGGATCGATTCCTGCTTCATCTAGGACTGTGATCATGTTGTCCAACTGCTCGCCGCCCAGCGCAACTGATTCGAGTGCCTGCGCGAGCTCGTCGATGCAACGAGCGTCGTCAAATTCGGTTGCCAGGACACGACGCAGCTCAGTAGACGTCATCCCGTCCAACTTGACCATGGCTGCATCGAAGACTTCGCTCGGGCACAACACGTTCTCCGGTAACATCCCCTTGCGCTCTTCCTTGTGCTTAGACATGTATGGCACCTTGTAGCCATTGCCGCCAAACAGCTTCAAGGTCTCCACCAAGCACGACTGAAGCGTCAAGAACGTGTGATTCAAACGCACCAAGGGGTACTCCTCGAACGTGCACTCCACGTGGCCTACGAGCTCGTCAATTGTGCGCGCTGACTTGTGGTGTTGTAGGGATTGGATGGCCGCAAAGTAACCGAGATGCAAGACGTTTGTGTCCGGAGAGTTTGGCGGCTGCAGGGCGAGGGACATCATCCAGTCCAACCACCGGTACTTGTTGAAGGCGGCTTGGAGCTCGGAGTCCGATGGCGTAACATGAGCTCGGGCATTGTCGTGCTGCAGTTTGATGGTTTTGTCGACCTCTGGCCATTTGGCGACGATGGCAGGCAAGACCTTTTCCAGCAAGACGGTACAGTACACGTCCTTTGTCACGACGACTAACTTGGTTTCGAGAGTTCCAGCTCTACGGTTCACACTGTCACGTTGCGCTTCGACGGTCGCCACAAATGGCCATACGCCGATCTTGCCGTCCCACCACTTGTCGGTGACGCAGTCGTACCGAGGACGAGCCACAGCGCAGAGGAACATTACTTTCGTAATATACCGTTTGCTTTTGAACTCTCGTTTTGGCTCTTTCTCTCCAGGTACGAGATAATACTTACGGCTCACCTTGGTGAGGTAAAACCACTTCTCGTCCAAGTGCACGTACTGGAGCATATTGTTCAGCTCTAACGAGGAGCCGACGAACTGGACCGCATGCTTCAAACGGGCGAACTTGTTTGCGTCAGTCAGCAATGGTTTAATCGCGTTGGAGTGGGAACGAAACAAGCCCATTTTAAGGTATCGGTGCAACGACCCCAAACTTGTTCCTATTGTGAGATCTGACACGATGTATTCCCTATAAGTTATCACCTGTGCGTTCCGAAATCGATCGTAGTGTTGTGCGTTGAGAAAGCGGCACCTGCAAGAGCTTTGCTTTCACTTGCTCTGCAGTGACTGCCTTCTTCCTGCCCACCCTACCTTTCATCTTGCTGGCGACAGATACTTTCATGTTGTCTCCACCAA